TAGTATGCTTATTGGCAATATGTTAAAGCAGTTATTCCATATTTTATAGTAGATGAATTATTACTCTTGATTTACTGATTGCTAGATTCTTTGCAGTTGTCTAAAAATTAACAATTTACAAAGATTCAAGACATCACTGATGTACAAAATGTTTGGAAGGTTGCTTTAGTATTTTTGTCCAGCTCCAAATCAAGTTAGCCTTAAATTGCTCGGAAATGGTTGCCTTATTTTTTTGTCTATTAAAAAACTGTTAACTATTTCCAGCCTTTTCTTAACTATTGTCCATTTGTAGATAGACTGCAAAAATAACTTAATAGTTCTTCTAATTGTCAAGAGCAGAAACAACCTATAGTTGTCTCTTGCTTTATAAAACAGTTGCATAGTTGTAAAGGAAAGCTGTGTGTTTGATTTAGGCAGAGAAAGACAAATAAGAGAATAGACAGACTACAACTAAGCCTCATGCCTTTGTGACAGTTTATAGTAACAAGTTGACCTCTGTGAAGAAAACAAACATAATCTCAGGTAACTTGTTGCTCTTGGTTTTGAAGTAATATATCTGAAAAGATAAAGCAGAATTAGATTTCAGTAAATGCATAACCATACTTGTGATATTTGCTGACAGCACCTGTAACAGAAAGGGAAAAAATGCAGTATTTACAAAACAAATATATTTTGTTTTGTTGTACTATTTTGGTTAGTTGCTTGATGTGAGGTAGTCTTAAATAAAGGTCTTTGTAGATATAGGCTGAGACCTATTCACTGGTAGAGCAAACCAACTTTCTGGTGTTGTTACACCTGATCATCCAGCACATGCATAATGGCTGAGACTAGCTTTATCTAAGCTGTCTTTTAAAATGCCTAACTCTGAGCCATGTCAGTAATGGAGACATAGAAGCTTGAGGAATCACCTGAACCTTTTCAAGACATGATTTTCCAAGCCCCTTCCCCCTTCTGTTTTTTTTTCTCCTTTAAAAAAAAACACTTGGCAGCTGTAGAGACCCTAACCCCTCTGGTTCAAACATAATGGAAATCCAGATTAACAGAATCTTCCATTTATGAAATCTTGATGCTGATATTGTAAACCCATCTTTTCATTTCTCTTTTTCATCCAATTATTTCAGTCTATTTTCCAATTGCTGTCAATCCTGCTAATATTATCAATTGATTTTCTGCATGTGACTCAGGATTATTTTTTTACATTATATTGTAGAAAAAGAATAATTCTAGACTTTACCTACCTCTTTCTTTTATCATACCAATATTACAATAGTGTTTAAATAAATAAAAGCATTGTAAGTCAACTGTATCTTTCTCTTTTCTGTACTTGTAAGTTTGACAGGGCCTGAAGGTCATATGAAGGCTCATTTCTTACAGGGCAGAGCAGCTTTGGCAGCTATCCTCAGATCTGTCGGTGGCCCAGAGATTAGCAGACCAGCCATATGGTTCAGTTTATTCACATTTACAAATAACTGAAGCTTAGGTATCATTAAGAGAAAACTTTGGCTTGAGTTTTCCAGGGAAGGGTTGGAATACAACACAAGAGCCATCTAGTCTAATTCCTTGCCATGCAAGAATATAAACCAAATTATCTTATTGCCATCCCGATTGCCTATGATTTTTTATTATTCAGTTACAGTATTATGTACTTTTGAAGTTACTCTATTTGGAATCTTTAAAAAATCATAGGTGTTGAGGGGCATCTTGCTTGGGAAAACATGTTGAACAAGCAACTTTGAAAAATGTGAATGAGAAGTTCTCATCAAAAGGTATTCAATTGCCTTTTGCAATTAGTATTTACATTGTATTGATTAATACATCTGTTTACTAGCAAGGAGGTTAAACTGCACAATCCTATACATGTCAGAAGTAACCACCATTTACTTCACTGGGATGTAGTCCCAGCTAGTTATCATGTTTCCCTGAAAATAAGATGTGTTAGGGCTCATTTTCGGGGTATGTCATTTTCCCCAAATTTATATATTTTATTTAATTGTAACTAGGCTTATTTTTGAAGTGGGCTTATATTTTGAGCATCCTCAAAAATCTTGAAAAATCATGCTAGGGCTTATTTTCAGGGTAAGTCTTATTTTGGGGGAAACAGGGTGTGTATGTGTATATATATATGTGTGTTTATTTATTTATCGTGTCAGGGGCAACCAGACCATTGTATTACATTTCTAACAGAACAAAACAAACAAACAGATAAAAAAACACAAAGTTTGCAAGCTTAGTACTTGATTAAATGTCCTTTGACCAGTATCTGGCCACTTGGAGTGCCTCTGGTGTTGCCGCAAGAAGGTCCTCCATTGTGCATGTAGCAGGGCTCAGGTTGTATTGCAGCAGGTGGTCAGTGGTTTGCTCTTCTCCACACTCGCATGTCGTGGATTCCACTTTGTAGCCCCATTTCTTAAGGTTGGCTCTACATCTCGTGGTGCCAGAGCGCAGTCTGTTCAGCACCTTCCAAGTCGCCCAGTCTTCTGTGTGCCCAGTGGGGAGTTTCTCATTTGGTATCAGCCATTGGTTGAGGTTCTGGGTTTGAGATAGATAGATAGATAGATAGATAGATAGATAGATAGATAGATAGATAGATATATATATATAGAGTCTAGATCAGGGGTCCTCAAACTTTTTAAGCAGAGGGATGCACAGTCCCTCAGACTGTTGGGTGCTGGACTACAGTTTGGAAAAAGCATGAGTGAGTTCCTATGCACGCTGCACATATCTTATTTAAAGTGCAAAAAATTTGAAAGAACAATACAATATTTAAAATGAAGAACAATTTAAATCAATATAAACTTGCCAGTATTTCAGTGGGAAGTGTGGACCTGCTTTTGGCTGATGAAATAATTAGGATTGTTTTGTGTGCCTTCAAGTCATTTCAGACTTTGGGCAACTCTAAGCCCAAAGTTTAAGGTGGGGGCCAGATAAATGATCTTGGAGGTCTGTATCTGGTCCACAGGCCTTAGTTTGGGGACCCCTGGCCTAGGTGATGAATTCTTAGAAAGGAAGCTCTTCTGTCTAAATTTCTTCTTGGCTTCTAGGCTGGGCAAACCATTAGTCTGTAATATTGACCTCCTTGGCACTGTTGTAAGTAGACCTTCACAGTTCTGCTCTTTCCAGATCCTGAAGACCACAATTCTAGCCTTCTTGGGTCTAAATTTTATGGAACTGAAGGAGTGTAAATAATTTACTGTATGTTTTTATTTGTAATCATTTCCTTGGCATTGCAGGCAAGAACAGCCAAAATTTTTGAAGTCATCTGGCCACTTAGGGAATTGGTATAGAAATACAATAGACAGTTTGAGTTTCTCTTTCTCCCTGGTGTCCTTAAGTGTAGTTAACCATTGTGCTATTGTCAGACAGTTTTATAGTATAATTAACTCAGAGATGTGAGCACAAAAAGGAGGTATTAAGAAATTTCAGAAGGCTGTCAGGGAGAGAAGCTTTCCTCGCAATTCTTACATGGAATTCAGAGCAGTATATTTGACCCTGTTCAACTTTAGCAGTGTTGTAACAGCCGCACATGTCTTATTACTAAACCCCATTTCCCTCCCCCTAGTACTCAGGCCAACTGAAGCTTGGCTGCCTGCTACACTCTATATTAATCTGCTCTAGGATAGTCACGTGGATCTAGTCTAAAAACAAAAAAGAAAGGTGCCAACACACAGCCCTGGTTTTCTATTCAGACCCAGTTGTATTTACTTATTTCCCAGCAAAACTATATGTTCGTCAGCTCACAAATAAAGCAATCTGTATACTTCGTTTCCTTTTGAATATAGTGAGCCTTTGGTGTCTACTGGGAACCTCCTAAGTATATGAAAATCAATCAATTCTCAAGTCTCATTAGATACAGTAGTATATTAAAAAGGTGTCCTTTATATAAAAATGGAAAAATCAGTTCCTTTGTAATAAAAAAATCAAGCTGTGGAGGGTTGAATCTGTGGCTATGGAGGGCTGATAGCATAGTATTTTTTTTTTTAGCAAACTTACAGTATTTATTAACTTACTTATTTTATATACCACTTTTTCACCCCTAGGGGGACTCAAAGTGGTTTCCAATAAATTTACAGCAAAATTCAATGCCCTACAAAACATGAAAACCTAACATAAAACAACAGTAACATAAAACTATCAATGACATCATAGTAGTATGCTTTTACAAAAAACAGATTATAATTGATAAGCTTTGACTAAATGCATTTTTTGCTTAAATAATTAAATTTATCCATGGTAATGTATAGTGTAAATGTACTGAAATAAATGAATTCATTCATAATATTCCACATGGATATTATTAAATACTTGAGAATCCTGAAAGAGTTATCATGGGGAAAAGGTGTTCCCACTGAAACTTTATCACCAATTCTTTTTTCCAGAACAAGTCAAATTTTTCAAAAATTCATTTATCATAGGGACAGAAAGTGAGGTGAAATATTCAGAACAGGGGCACATACAGCAAAACAAACACCACATGGGTGTTAACCCTTCCTTGTGCTTTCCAAAGCTGTATGTATATGTGTGTGTGTGTGTGGCTGTACCCTGTTCTGACTTACATCCAAATTCAACTTCAGAGCAAACCTGCAGAACCTATCTTGTTCATAACTTGGGGACTGCCTATATCTTGGTAATACTACTGTACTGTAGTTTTCAGTGTTATTATTTTAGTACCTTGAAGAAGTAGCTCATCAAAGGTAAACATTCAGAATGAGATGTACAGTTTTAGTTTTAAGATGTCTTAATCTTGCACTAAGCCAACACTTACCTTGCAAGGATTAGTGCAGAGGGATATACTGAAGCAAATGTATTGACAGTGTAAATTATACAGTAGCATGATTGTTTAAATCTGTTGAACAAAAGGATTTGTATGTTTGCATATGCAGAATAGACAGATTGAAACACATGCAAAAATTTAAACTTAAGTGTTGATATAGAAGTGAACATTTTGTGAAAGACTCTGAATACAACCTATACTGATTTTTCCTTTTTCCTTCCTGCTTCAGGTATGGCCTCACAAGTCTTGGTCTATCCACCATATGTTTATCAAACTCAGTCAAGTGCCTTTTGTAGTGTGAAGAAACTAAAAGTGGAGCCAAGTAGTTGTGTGTACCACGAGAAAACCTACCCGCAGATCTATGTGAATGGTAAACATTTTGGAATCGCTCAGCCTCCCAGTAGGATTGGTACTTTTTTGCAGGCTACAAATCTTTTTGACAGACCTCGAAGAGATCCTTGTTTGTTGCAGACCAGTGCTGTGGCTTTAAAAAATATTGCAGGTGCTACCAAGATACTAGTAGTGCAGGCGCAGCAACCTCAAGTGGAAGAACCTTGGCCTGGCACGCAGGAAGATCTAACAATCTTGGACCGCCCCCAGCGATGTGGACTGAAGCGTAAGAGTGAAGACTTGGAGAGTCAGAGCGACACAATGCAGATTGTTGATGAACTGCCTATATTACCTGCAATGTTGCAAACAAACTTGGGAAACCCAGTGACGGTTGTGACGACTGCAACTTCGAAACCAAGTAGTACCAGTGGAGATGGCGATTATCAGTTAGTGCATCATGAGGTCTTATGCTCTGTGAAAAGTACTTACGAGGTTCTTGATTTCCTTGGGCGAGGGACTTTTGGACAAGTAGTAAAGTGCTGGAAAAGAGAGACGAATGAAATAGTGGCAATCAAAATTCTAAAGAACCATCCGTCTTATGCACGTCAAGGACAAATAGAAGTGAGCATATTAGCACGACTAAGTACAGAGAATGCTGATGAGTTTAATTTTGTGAGAGCGTATGAGTGTTTTCAGCATCGGAACCATACTTGCTTAGTTTTTGAGATGTTGGAACAGAATTTATATGACTTTCTGAAACAAAACAAATTTAGCCCTCTTCACCTAAAAGTAATACGGCCTATACTGCAACAGGTGGCCACTGCACTGAAAAAACTAAAAAGTCTTGGTTTAATACATGCTGACCTCAAACCAGAAAATATTATGTTAGTAGATCCAGTCCGGCAGCCTTACAGAGTTAAGGTGATTGACTTTGGGTCTGCTAGCCATGTATCAAAGACTGTCTGTTCAACGTATTTGCAGTCTCGGTACTACAGGTATGTGTCTTCCTATTCTAATTCTAGCTTATGGTTGTTATTTTTTTCAGCTTTTACTTTTCTGCAATATCTATATATAATTATGCTTTGATAAGTCACTAAAGGAATTGTATTTAAATTGTTTCGTGAAGAATTTGTTCTATGAAGCAAAGTGTTAAGAGTTTTTTGGTTCTTCACCCAAGACTAGGTAAGCGAAACTTCAGTGTGATACTGGAAAATTAAAGGATTCCTGTTCTGAAAGGCAGTACGTTCATACAGCCATCCCTCTGTATCCACAAGTTTTGAATCCATGGATTCAGCCAACCATGGCTTCAAAATATTTGGGAAGAATATTTTTGTATTGTAATTTGTTGTTCAGGCTTGGCCCCATGTAAGCCGCTCCGAGTCCCCGTTGGGGGAGATGGTAGTGGGGTATAAATAAAGATGATGATGATGATGATGATGATTATTATTATTATTATTAAGAAAAATCCAAATGGCAAACTTTGATTTCACCATTTCATATAAGGGATGCCATTTTACTTTGCCATTGTAAATAATGGAATTTGCGTATCAACTGATTATCTTATCCACAGGGAGACCTGGAATCAAACCCAGTGCATAATGAGGGCCCACAGTATATGCTAATATTTCTGGTGGACACTTTCTTTTACTGGTCTCTTTACTCAGAAATATTAACATGAAGCAAAGCAACTGTTGACCAGGACTTCTCTTTGAAGTGTTCAGCTGCTGACAAGCAAAGTTAAAAAGGGAGTAAGGGAGAGGACAGATTCTCTTGCTTCTTGGAGATTGCAGTTGTATAAGGCATGAAATGAGAATGAACTGAGGAGGTTTGTGATGAGCAATGAAAAGAGTTAAGTAGGCCTGTGAAACAAGTCAACGAGCAGGTGAAAATGAGAATTAGGTTTCTATTTGTACATGGTTTTTATGTAAGAGCTTTGTGTTTGTGTGTGAGAGAACTTTTTCTTAAAGCGGGAAGTAAATAGTGGATGTGCATGTTGTGTGTGTTATTTGTGCTGTGGAAGATTGTGGGGCATGTTGCCTGCTGTTCTGAAATACAAGTTAAGGCCTAAAATTTCTGCAGCATACAAGCTGACAATTTATCTCGCACTTAAGTTTCCTTTTATTATATAAGGAGTTAAATCATGAATTACCTAAATTTATCATGTGGTTATATCTGGTTAGGCCTCATCTCTTTTATTGTTTTAATAAATCTGTCATAATATTGTATATCGGTTTGATTTTATTACAGACATTGTACTTTGTTTTACTGCTTTGTAATACTTTTTATGCAGTCTGCTATAACTTTGTAGTAAAGGAGTAAAATTGTTGATGTGCTGAATATGAGAAAATCCACGTTTGAGGCATCCTGTGAGAAGAAAAAGGCTTAAAGGCCCTAGCAAGGTTAGCCCTGGTTAGCACTTGGATGGGCTACCTCCAATGAATACCAGGAGTTGTAGATCATATTTTAGAGGGAGTATTTTGTGTTGGGAGGAGAGCAATGTCCAATCTCGATAAAATAGTAAAGAGTAGAGACATCAGAATGGCAACAAAGATCCGCCTAGTCAAAGCCATGGTATTCCCTGTAGTAACCTACGGATGTGAGAGCTGGACCTTAGGGAAGGCTGAGCGAAGGAAGATCGATGCTTTTGAGCTGTGGTGTTGGAGGAAAGTTCTGAGAGTGCCTTGGACTGCGAGAAGATCCAACCAGTCCATCCTCCAGGAAATAAAGCCCTACTGCTCACTGGAGGGAAAGATACTAGAGACAAAGTTGAAGTACTTTGGCCACATCATGAGGAGACAGGAAAGCCTAGAGAATACAATTATGCTGGGGAAAGTGGAAGGCAAAAGGAAGAGGGGCCGACCAAGGGCAAGATGGATGGATGGCATCCTTGAAGTGACTGGACTGACCTTGAGGGAGCTGGGGGTGGTAACGGCCGAGAGGGAGCTCTGGCGTGGGCTGGTCCATGAGGTCACGAAGAGTCGGAGACGACTGAACGAATGAACAACAACATTTTGTGTACTCTTTACCTAGGAAAGCCCTGTGAAATTCATAGAGTAACTAGGCAACTTGAAAGTACATACACATACATGAGAGTAAATGGATGACAAATTATACACCTTTCCTTCAGCCATGAGTTTATTTGATGGAACAAGTGGAGGCTGTTTTGCCCTCGACTCTTTGAGGAACATTAAACCTAGCCAGCAAGGATATTTTGGTATTTTTTTCAGTTGTGCTGTGAAAAATAATCTGGGAACACCTGGCTTGTACTGCCTATCTGCTTTTTGGCTGCATTTTTTAATGGGTTTAATCAAAAGATAGGCACGCTGGTTGTAATACATATCTTTGGAACAATTATAGATTTGGTAAAATGATATTCAAAATATTTCTTTCTGTGTGCACATTGTGGGGCAGTAGTAGGGATGAGTTAGAAAACTGACTGTTGATGTTGCATATTATTCAATTTACAGTGGTGTGATACATAGTCAATTAATGCACACATGTTTTTCTGAAAATATGTGATTTTTTTCTATTCTGTTCTAAATGTGTTGGATTTTCTTGAAAGTATTGATTCAGCCGTTAATTTAGGTATTTTGGAATTTAAATCCTTAAGGTGTAAGTTTATTTGCTGGCTCAAGCTTGTGAAAAAGAAATAAAACAATCAAAACGTTTTATTAACATTAACTACTGCAACGGTTAATATAGATAACATGCAGGTGTCTATTCTGATTCCAATTTTGAATTACTTAAAGTATAGAGTTAAAAATAGGATACTCATGAATGCTACTTCGAATTCCTTAGAGGAAAGCCGTATTCAGTCAAATAAAAAATGAAGAAATGAGAAAAGAAAGATAGCAAGGTTGAGAAACTGCAAGTCGCTTCTAGTGTGAGAGAACTGGCCGTCTGCAAGGACATTCCCAGGAGATACCTGGATATTTTACCATCCTGTGGGAGGCTTCTCTCATGTCCCTGCATGAACAACTAAAGTGACAACTTTGTGCTGTTTCCATCCTAAACATATGGCGCAACACCATAGTGGTGTAGTAGATGCAGAAACACAGAGAAGCAAAACTGACCCTTTTCTCAGCAGAAGGTCTCTCAGGCCACAGATAATTGGTGGAGAATATAATGAGGTTTCAGGTTTTACTGTTTATTATAGGTTTACATAGAAGAAGTCAAAGAATGAATAAACAGTAATTATGCAGAGGTTGATTATTTCCATTGCTTTGGTTTCTTGCTGCACTAGCATCGTTGTGTTTTCATTTATCTTCAAAACTGAAGTGTTGCATTTCAAGTGGTTCAACTGTTCACTGAAGCTTCATGTGTTTTATGTTAAACCTATTGAATTAGAAGAAAATACCACAGATCTCACTCCCAGGATTGCAAGCATATGCTGTAGAGTGAATTTTATTAGCAGTTGGTGTTTTGTATGTCACTGATTAAAATTTAAAATACAATATTAAATATAAATACCAGAAAAATAAGATGTACAATTAAATATAATCATTACTATATATTATCTCTTTTTTGTTTGAGGGCAAGGCTTTAGTGGTTCCCTGATGAGCTCTTGCATTTCTAAATTTGACAATTAAGCAAGTCAAATATTTCTGCCCTTTCCCATATCTGAAGGTTTTAGCAATGATGACAACAGACACAGAATTGTATAATGTAAATAAATAAATAAAAATAAAGCAATTGAACAGGATAAAACTAAAACTCAGAATATAGTAGTCCCAAACCGAAATTAGACTACTAAGTATCAAAAGCTCTAGTGAAATGAAAATTTAACTGGGCATCAAAATGAATCCATTGTTGACACCATTCAGACTTCCAGGAACAGGGCATTCTACAACCATACATATTTCTCCTTCTCCCCCAAATCCCCACATGTGTGCTGCTTCCTTGGTAGATATTAATGGCTGGAAAGATGCACATACAGTGTAATTCCTTTACATTCTGAAGCAGATACTCGTGTATTTACCATTACACTTCTGTGAATAATTTTCAAATTGTTGCATATTTCAGAGGAAGGGACTGTCAAAACTATATTCTTTCCCTAAGAAAATCCTGTGAAATCCATGGGGGCGCCATAAGGCAATAGGCAACCTATGAGCACAAATACATACAAAAACTCTCAAGTCTCCTGACTCTTTTTCTGATTAAATGCTTCTGGGAATATGTGGCATCTGTTTAAATTGATTAATTTTCAAGTAGCTGTAAGGTAGAGGGAAACAAATGGGATTCCCAATTGTCCTTGTTTTAGACATGTCTTTATCTCTTGAGTACTATATATAGTAGTAATACATTTTACCATATGCAAAGGAGAGTACTTGAAAGTGGAGGGAGTCTTAACTAAGATAGCTATTGAATGCTGAACAGCAATCTGGTTATCTCCTTTCAGTCTTGTTGTCAGAGGGCTGCTTCCACAACTTAGTATGCATGAAATTTATATCAAGCAAAGGGATGTGATGGAGCTCTTCCTATACTTTAGGCACATGATTTTTGCCTCCAGAACATGGCCATATAGCCCGGAAAAACCTACAACAACACATGATTTGTAGTCCTTATTTGTTTCATGATACTGCATATAAAATATTTGTAGTGTATGAGTTGTGTAGTAGTCTGTTGAACTTGAAACAATGGGAGAATAGGCCCCCCCCCCCCCCCGGTATTCCAGCATGGAGAAAATTATGCTAATTCCCAGTTGCTGCGATTGTTATAAAATAATGAACTATATGTTTGAATTGCAACCCTGTAGTATTTTGGAAATTATTGGTTACTACAACTGCTAATTCTTCAATACCTGGCTGGTGACGAGTATTTTCGAGTTCTTTATTAGACCAAGGATGACATACCATACAAATGGTTGATGATTTTAATAATGAATGATCTTATTGTTCTATACCAGGGGTCCCCAAACTACGGCCCGCGGGCCACTTCCGGCCTGCCAAGGCCCCCGATCCGGCCTGCGGAGGAGGAGCGCCCCCCCCCACACAGT